AAGTTCAAGATGTCACGTAACCGGAGGGCGCGGCATCGCTCGCCACGCCTGCCAGCACGACAAATTACGATTCTCTTGTCATACACCCGTTTCCACCTCCCAAAAAGACTTCTCCGAAATAGATTGCTTTCACTATTCCAGATTCCCCGTCCTAATTCACACCAACGCTGTAACAATGGCACCACATGATTTATGCGTATGCTGCATTCAGTAATATGGCTAACATTTGGTAATAACATGGAGAAAAATAGCATCCTAAATCAATGATCACAAATAGTTATGTGTAGAACAAAATGAAAACACCAGAACTAGACGAATGAATGACCAGTTAACAATAAGGGTTCGGCTGCACATAATATCCTCTTGGCGATCGCGATCTACACGTTATGAATAACGATCAGCATCTTAGTGGATATTTTGCAACGCCATCATCATCACATTAAAAATAGCCGGGCAGCCGTCATCCCCTCTGGCAAAGGCAATAAATGATTTAAAAAACATATAAATTGACGACAAAATTACAAGACATTAGGTGGGACTAATGCTGCCGGGTGATAAGACATTCATGTGAGAGTTAGTCGAGCAATAGTGGTGGGCGAGAGGAAACGAGAAACGAAGACAACTGACTGGAAAGACAAAACCGGGTTTTGATAAGCGCTTAGTCGGATCCAACTGTTCACTATTCCACTGGTTTCAATCATGTACTGATACGAATCAACTACCCTTCATATCAAGGGGCAGATCTCATCCTGACACAGACGGGCGGTCCCGTCGATCTATGGAAACTGGATCTTTTGCCGGATTGATCTCATTTTTTTGGATCGTGTTTCATCAACGGAAGGGACGAAGTATGTCCCACGCCCGCAATGAACTGGCCAGTCTACAGAATTCCCACTGATGGAGCCCATGGAATCCTACCGAATGCTGGTCGGTAGAAAACCAGTCTCGTTCGCTGTGGAGGGATAGCCGTGTCGGACGTGATTAGTTCGACGCCGCGCCAAATTCCTTAAGTCTGATAGGCCACTTCACCTGCAGCGAAACAAAACTGTGTCGGCCAGAACAAATTTTTGATGTGCACCTTATTCCAAATAATTCACATTCCATAATTTCGGGAGGCCACGAGTACATTCCAGTTGGCTCAAAACTGTCGAGTGAAGAGCAACTTGGCAAGGTAATCTGCCATAGACGCGCAAAATGCTGTAATGAATGGCAACGTGGCACCATTACTAAGTACTTTAGACCGCGTTCAAGCTTGGGGATCGGATCGCTCGATTGGACCGCGACCTCCACTGCCAAATGATGCATCGCCGCAGCGGCACATTTCGAACTGCCACTGTGTGAACACAGCCCAATTCGAATTCTGCCGTTGCGACGGTTCACTTTGAGATGGGGCGCCACCGGCCGTGGTTGCGCCATTCGATCGCGCGGTCCAATCGAGCGATCCAATCGCAAGTCTGAACGCGATCTTAATGGATGCAGTCGCTTTCGATAAGTTCTTAAACTCGTTCTTGGTGCAAATATCCCCATTAAAACGCTAATGCTGGTGTTGTAGTAACAAAAGAGGGCAATAAGTAGAACTCATTTCGCTTCCGCTGATAAGTACTTATCAGCTGGATCCGACCTCATAAATTTCACCATATAAAAATAGAAATCGTACAGCACGGAAGGAGAACTGTTAGAGAATTTGTAATGTGACATTTACTTTCCGATTCTCGAGAGCACCTATATGTCAGAAATGTGAAAAATAAAGCTCACAAAAATCCTAGTCATAAAATGTAACCGAGAGTACAACTTTCCTAACAGCAAAATTGAAATTCAAAATGAATAAAACTCACATTTTGGCTTAGTGATGCGGGGGGAGGGTACCAGGTTATAAGACGCTTATAATACAGAACATTGACAATGTATCCTTGCCAAATATGAGTAAATTTACTATCTATTCCTAATTCAAGATCTGTGCCACGGTTTACTGCTGATGCCACAATATAGGTTCGAATTTAGTCGCAGAGGGCAGGCAGAATTCGTGGAATGATCGCCATGGGGCAACACCGTTTGCGACAAAGTTGCTCTCTTACAGAGCACAGGCCATTATATTTGGTTGCTGGACTACCCATTGCATAGAACAATCGACTAGTACCGATTAGATATTCTAGATAACCTTGATTAAGTGGCTAATTACCAGGACGATGTCATAAGTGGGGATGAGGTTGAGATGTTGGTGGAGGTGTCTGACGAAAGACGTATGGTGAGAAATGCCGGGTAAGTATAGGCATTCCTGGCACTAACGGCATCATCGCCGGTGGCGGCATCAAACCTGGAGGCAGATTTGGAAAATGCTCAACACCCGTTGGACGCGGACCAATCGCTGCAGCTGCCATCGCTACAGCTGCGCAGTTTGGACACGTGCTGTCATGAATTCCACCACCAAAGTCCAATCGGAACACACCTGAAATACTGTTGGTAATTTCAATTCAGTTTTATTTCAAGCTACCTATTGTTAAGCGGAGGTTCATATGATAATGGTTCAACTTTTCCACCACATTCTCGTCTTTAGAGGCATAAGGTAAGAAACCGTGGAGGAAGAGAGAAACCGGAACGGTAATGCTTACTATCATTGCACAGCAGTCATTAGATGACTGCTTCAAAACAACTTCATCCCAAATATAACTTATTCAAGTGTCCGAGATTGGTATTAATCTTTATTAGCAAAAGGCCAACGTTTCAGCTTTTTCGCCTTCGTCAGAGCTTGTAAAAAGAGACATGACCAGTTCCTCCAAAGCCTCGGCAAAGATCAAGAAAAATCAGATAAAAGGCCACTAGCAAACCAAAAGTAAAACTGCCTTACCTTGAGCTGGTGACCACTCCGGCTTAGTCAGTCATCTGCTTAAAGTGGGAGTTTTAGTTTTGGTTGGATTTCCTGTCTGATCTTTTGTCTGAGTTTTCATTATCTCTGCCGAGGCTTTCCAGGGACTGGTCGCGCGTGTTTTTAGAGGTTCTGACGAAGGAGAAACCGCTGGAACGTTGGTCTTTTGTTAATGAAGACTAATACCAATTCCGACTTGGATAAGTTATATTTATGTGGAATAACTATGCCGAGGTTAAAAATGGTCGATCATGGTCAACATCATTACAACCTGAAGTAGGCGAGTGCTTTACCTAGTAAACTAGCAGTCACATACTGAGAATCCAGTCACATACTGAGAATAAGTTCACATGCGATGCTCCGCGCGGCGGATTACTCCATTACCAGAACACGCAGGGGAGAAGTACTCGATAGCATGCTTAGTGTGAACGGTATAGAGAAATAAGCGCTCGAAAATCTGTCAAGCATGCCATCGATTATAAACGTAGAGCCTTCGTCGTTGTGTTGCTGTATACAGGATTCGAATACGCACTAAGGAATATCTTTTTTTGAATTCGATGTCAAAGCTCAAGCTCCCCCGTTTCTGAGGGAGCCTCCTGGCCAACGTATTTATAATTCGTACCAGTTGGATCGCTCGGCTGACGCCGAGCTTTCCTCCTTATCTTTAGTAGCACTTTGGTTCGCTCGGCTGACGCCGAGCTTTCCTCCTTATCTTTAGCCGAGCTGGCCTGCCTTCGGCAGGCGCACATAAGTGCAACGCAACTTTTTCGATAGTGGGCTGCTCATACAGCGCTGTAGTGATTGAATCGCAACAGATAGAGCACACTGCAGATTTTGCTTTCCTAAGCCCCCCCCCACCCCTGCTCGTCGACATCGACATTATATAGTAGGACAGTGGGATGAGTTTAGTGCTATCAGAGAAGTGATGGCTAAAGGAGAAGTTTGCACGTTGAGCCATCAGTACTTGGCGAATTAGGTGAGAGTATAATGGCCGTAGGATAGGATATGTATGGATGTATGATAATGGGCCCCTTATCCTTTCTTATCAATTGATAAGATTGCCTGTCACCCGTCATCAGTTTCATATCACTAAAGCTCTATAATTTTGTAGTGTAAAGGCCCCAACACCTTGACTGAACAACAACGGCAACGTTCCTTATTAGCCATTATCACATCAGCTGTTATCACTTCCTGTCACCCGCCGTCGATGTTCTCATCTCCCACTCTATATCATTTTCTGAAATCAACGCCTAGCTGATGCTGTGTCCCGCGTTATGAGTATGGTGACCTTCCCATTCTAACTCCCTTATCAAATCTTATCAGCTGCTAGAACTGCTTGTCACCCACCAATAATAATCGTGTGCCATAGCCTATACCACACCTTAGAACTAACGTCCCACTATGGCTGTGACCCGCGATAGACTCGATGCCCCTTCCCTTGATGCCTCTTATCAGGTCTTATCAACTGATACCACTCCCTGCCACCCACTAATAATGTTTCTGTCCGACACCCTATCCCATACCTTGGAACCGACGCCCTCTGTTGCTGTGGTCCGCACTATGGACTCGGTGACCCTCCCCCTCCGACGCCTCTTATCATATATTATCAGCTGATATCACTTCCTCGTCAACCCATCAGTAACTTCGTCAAGCCTCTATATCACCTGCTTTGAAATCTCAAACTTCCTACAGCATACGCGACGCTGCGCTATGAATTTCGTGACACACACAGACACACACACACACACACACACACACACACACACACACACACACACACACACACACACACACACACACACACACACACACACACACACACCACACAACAGACATAACTTAGCGGAATTATATATAGTAGGACTTTCGAGTAAATTTTCGATTCTCACTAGAAGACGTTACATATCGTTCGCAGATGATAACAAGCTACGCTAGCCTTAAAGAAAGAAGGTTTCCGAACTATAGACCGTTACCAAATATGGCATTTCCTTTAACGACTAAATCAGCAATCATTCAGTTTCCCCGATATCGGGTAAGTGACAGCGTAAAACTTATATAGGGCTTAATCATATATTGAACATTTGCTCATTTTGAAACTTCGATGTTCGTGAGAGACTGAAGTCAACTCAGGAAAGAATTATGAATTGCCCAACACAAATTGAAAAAAAGAACAGTACAAAATCCTACCATCTTTCTGTAAAGGGGTGTCTTTGGTACACTGGACGAAGGCATGTGGACCAGCACAGTTACTGCATGACGGAAATTGCACCTGAATAGGCAGTAGTGAACAAAATTTGTTGTAGGGTTGATTCAGAACACAAATCAGAAATACTCGGAAAGTTTACTTATTGAAACGAAATTTCTAGAATAGAGTAGCTCAAGAAAAATCATGGGAAATGCTTCCTGACATTAGCGAAATAGTAAAAAACATTGGAAAATAAGGGCATCGTCTAGTAGGTTGTAAGAGCGTGCTCAAACCAGCTTCTATTCCTAGCTGGTTGACTCGGCACAGCATTTTGCTTCTCAACTGCGTCATGGCACCGTCCCAAACAGTTTACTCAAAGTTCTACAAGCGATAAACTGCTTGCTTCCAATTCAGGCTTTGACGATTACTATTTAAGAATTGATTATTATCCGAAACTTGGTGCCTTCCACAGAGATATTAGGTTGTCCGGAAAGTTTTGAGAAAATTTCACACTTTTAGTTTGAAGAAGTGTAGCAAGCGAATGCCCCAACAGAAAGTCATATATCAAGTGCTATGAGAAAGAGAAATGTTTGTAGATCAATACTAATGCTGGTTGTTATTA